GACGTTTAGTCCTGGGACTAAAAAATGTCAAATAATACCTTTAATGTCACAGTGTATAACAGACAAGGAGTGAAGAAACTTGACTGCTTCCATGACTYCTTGTAAAATGTAGATGCAACACCTCTCATCCAGATGCCCACTCTCTTGATGTTGAAGCAAGTTGGCCAGAGATCCCTCTAAAGTTAATTTAATATTGTATCATTAATTGAAATAGTTAACATTTAGACCACAAGGTCGAGTGGACTDCAAGTTGATAGTCGATGAGGTCATACTCGCCCTCAGTTTACTAGAGGGAGAGGTCTTAGAATTGTCTTATCCACCAAACTATAGAGGAAATTGTACAAAATAACAATTTTTCTCAATATTTTATTGCTATTTTTGATTCATTCAATGCAAAGACATTYTATCATAAAAAGAGAATTGTTCAGCAGCCAAGAATACTGGATTTATAGTTTGAAGGATACATTGAAATTTAAGTAAAAATAATTTAAATCCATTGAGTTGTTGCATGTTTTTGAACTCAAGGTACCGTATTTACCCATGTATAAGCCGCACTTTTTTTCCAAAAAAATCGTTGCCAAATCGGGGGTGCGGCTTATCTACGAGAAGACTTGTAAAAATGCCCAATAAAAACTAATTTGCATAAATTAGCATTCACGGTGCTACCTATTGCAGACAGGACATCAGTGTTTTACACGGTGGGAACAGAAATTTTAATCCAAACTTCTCAGTATTTACTATAAATTCTCCGAAAATCTAGCTCTGAGAAACACAAGTCAATAAATCAAACTGAAAAGTGCGTGGTTATTGAGCTAAAATGTACAGAGAGCATTTTCAATCGTTTTGTCTTAGAGTTGTTTTGGTAACGCGATGCTAATTTGCATTGACACTTAAAGTGAAGAATACAGGGCAAATATTTTGAATACCCAAGAAATAAGCCTAAGAAATTGTTCCTTATTTTAAACTAATACAATCTGCTTTGATATTTTTTTGAAATACGAAACGGTTTCGGCATGATCCTTATGTTTAGAAGTTTGGCGGCACGATGAGATTTATATCACTCAAGTTAATTACTAGTTTGCTTTTACCTTTTGAATGAAAAACAACTCTTTAAAGTATCAATTATCAATCTTAACAATTATGTCTCCAAGATCAAATTCATCATAGTACACCGTACGTTAAATAAAAAGATTGTAATTGCATACGAAATGCATGGATCACGGAAATCGAGCAGCGGAAAATCGAAGAAAGCTGTGTTCGCAAGTGGCGATCAAAAAGAGAAAAGTTTATTTTCCGTCTTTTTTTCCCTCAAAAACGTTCCTAAAACTCGGGGTGCGGCTTATCTACGAGACCGGCTTATACATGGGTAAATACGGTACTTTAAATTACGTACAGTGATTACAATCAACTGACAAGTTTTGATGAATATTAATCCAGCACACCTTCCATATATTCCATAAATATTGTGACAAACTGGTCATCTTGGACTGCACCAAAGAGGTCAAGGCATCTTATATTCTGACCACTTAACTTAGACCATATTACTAACTCGCTTGGATCATATTTTCTTGATGGAATCTAAA